TTAAAACAAATCATAAACATCATAAAACACAACAAATACATAAAAACTGCAATAAATCAAAATAAAACAACATCAACACTGGGATTTTATTGTGAAAATCATTTGTCTTTTCAAAATAAGTGACTTCAACCATCAGATCAATGGATTGATTGTTTCAACAATAACAACAATGTTATAAACTATTTATAAAGTAAAGCTGATAAACGTAGTCGAGTAGAAGTAAAAGTACTCGAGTAAATGTTCTTATCTGTGGTGGACAGAATAATAGAAACACCTCATCAGAACAGAACAGTGTGTTTATTCATATATTTCTTGTTCTTCGCCGCAATGCACCCTGGGAGTCGTAGTCTCTCCTTTATGGCTCTTTTTAATCAAAGATTCTGATTTCGTCTTCGTCACAGACCTGAAGAGAAAGTCGGGGAGTCCGCGGTCAACGGTAAAAACATTTATCGTACAATAACAGAGACGATAATAAATTAAAGTCAGTGTTACAATTGTCCCTTCTTAAGCCCCGCCCCTTTTTGCTATGCTAGGCTAATCTATGTAGCAAAGCCAACCACGTTTTGAAGACGATTAAAAGAAAAATGAAACATAAATATAGTTACATCTTAAGTTAATATTAGCAAAATGCTACATAATGAATTCTCAGCAATCATCAAAGCTAGCTAGTTGGCTAGTTAGCTCAAAGCTAATGTTACCAAAACAATAGCTAATTAGCATATTTAATAAGTTATCTCGGTAGTTAGCGTTTTGCTACATTAGCCTTCAGATGTAACTTTGGTTTTGGTCAGTCATAATGCTAAGCTAATAATAATGCTATGTTGAAAAGAATGACGTTCTAAAGATTGTTAAAAGATAAAAGACATAAATATAATCACATCTTAAGTTAGCTAAATGCTAGCTATTTAAATTAGCTAGATAGCTGGATTGCTAACATTAGCTAACTTAAGATGTGATTATATTTATGTCTTTTATCTTTTAACAATCTTCAAAATGTGGTTTTCAACATAGATTAGCTTAGCATGTAGCATCTCTAAGCACAGGAAAGGAAGTTGAGTCTCAGATATTTTAATGAGTTTTTCTGCTGCAGGTTTAAAGAGTCCGACTGGTTTCAGGATGTTCAGGTATGTGAAGGATTTCTTGTCCTTGACTCCTTTAATCAGTTTGTTTCTTTCATTTGATGTTTCTACTGTTTTAAAACACGTTTAGTCTTTATTTGACTTCACTTTGTCACCAAAGGTTAGCATTATATATATTTATATATATTCAAACAATAACTGTGTTACTGTTTAAACATTGACCACATTCTCCTGGAGTGGATTTTACAATAAGTATATTTAAAGGTTGTTTTTTGTATTCTGAAGGTTTATTTATCATTAAAAACCTGATTTATGTCACATTTATTCCTAAAAACATGCTGAAAATGTTTTTTAATGAGGGATAAAAACCTTTGACTCTTAATATGTAAACAAAATGAAACAACAGAATAAGCCTGGTTTTATCCAATATTTTGACTTAAATTTTATTAATTTAAATAAATTAATTGTGTTGATGTAAATACCGTAAACCTTCTAATAATAGCCCGGGCGTTTATTTGCTTAAATCACTGAACTCCTCCTGCCTTTATTGGGGACAGGTCTTTAATTCCTTTATCACTAAACTAAACTAAACTAAACTAAACTAACTGCTGCTTCTCTTGAGTTTTGTGATGCTTCAGAGGTTTTTTTCCGTCTCTCTTGATTAACGTTATACTTATCGTTTTCGTAAAATATAGTAAAAGATTGAATTGTGGAGAATCTGTAACTGATCTAATGATGTTCATTATGTTCATATTGACAGAAGTTTAAGTTTAAACATTTATATTTGTGTTAATTAAAACTCACTCAAGCATCACAGTACTCAACATTGGACGTTTCTGTTTGTTTACATTTTTACTTTCTTTCAACCCTACAAAATATTTAAAAAAGCAGCCCCGGCGTCCCGTTTCACAGAAATGTATGAAAATCGGCAGACACATTTATCGTGTCGCTGTTCTGTTTCTACGAACTCCTCCAAGATAACCGATCAGATCCATTTCAGATTTGGTGAATAAACTCTGAATACATTTACAGTGAAACCCGCCCTGAACACATCTATGTGAAATATTAAGTTACAGTCACACGCCCCACTAGTGGCAACAGAAGTGTCATTTTTTATTACTTTTGTGTTACATCTCCTAACAGATTGATTGGATCCAGCGAATTTGATTCAGAACACTTCTAACATGTTGAATGTATGATATATTATAAATTCTTGAATTATAAAAAATTCTTGTTGGAACCGTGTTGCCGTAGAAGCGCTTTAAAAGGTGAAAGGATTTTTTGGGACATAAATATGCTCAAATACTCGGAGCACGTCCCAAATGGCAGAATTATTATTATTATTATTATTATTGTAAGATTTTCAGTTAGATAATTATGCATCAGATATATAAACGCAAGGGCTCCATACAAGCTTGCTGCAATTAATAGCTGCTGGCATTAAATATCTAAATTACCCCCACCGGAGGTATTTCTATACCCTCTAAGGGTTAGGCTTAGGTTCCCATGTTGCAATGGATTGTTGTATAAACGATATAGGACTGCAGACGTGGTTGAAACTGACATCAGCTCATAATGGAAACACAGCAGCACCAACACAAAAACTACAATGAGCAAGAAAATATAAATACAGTTTCTTCTCTCTGATGGAGGGACGGAGGGATTTTGCCTCCGTGACCTTCCCGTATATATGCTAGTGTATTGCGTGACTGATGATACACTCAGGTTGATTCATAATGGTCAGTGAAATAGGTATCGAATCACCATGACTTAGCTGTACACGATTGCACCATGGTAGCGATTAGTTACAGTTGTATGTATAGTGCGATGAGTTGTGCCAGTAGATCTATTGTGTGCTTCGTAACCCATTCAGCTCATTTTTTAGAGTATATACTACAGACCTGTTCGCTAACTCTCAGCTCTGTGGGGTGATAATTCAGTAGTCCAATACCTGGCTACATTACATTATAAGGTGACAACAGTTGCCCTGGGCAACACTTTTGAGTAATAGCACAAAACCTCCACCAAAGCAAAACACCTAGTCAAAAAGAGTATATGGACCAGGCGACCACTATACCCTGCAACTGAAATAATGGAAATATCCTGGTTGTATGCGGATTCGCAGTTACGACTTCTCAGACACACACCCTCCTCTCACCCTGTCGAGATGGTTGTTCACGAAACATAATCCCTCTCGCATCACTGTGAGAATAATTATTAAA